TCTCAGTTGAAAATAGAAGGTTGTATTTTTTTGGTTGTCAGATGTATCGTATCCTTTTCTTAAATTCTTTATTTTACCTGAGTGAGCTCTTTACTCGTCCTGATTCATCGCTGAGGAGATCTGATCGCCTTGGCACTTCATCACAAACTTTTCATATTCCGTCTTGTAGAACTACTATGTACATGCACTCATTTCGCCTTTCTTTAATACGTTTTTGAAATTCCCTTCCTATCAACATAACATCAGCATCTTCTCTTGCATCTTTTAAGGACCTTCTCCGCTTGTATTTACTTGCATCTAAATCTGTTTGATACTCTTGGCCTTCTGGTGCAATGTTATCATCGTCTAGTCAGACAATCTAGTTTGTTGCGTTATACAAATAATTATCTTAGTTTAAGTGCGTTACGTATTATCTATTAGTTCTTAAGGTGCCTTTTCATGCTGACGCTCGACGCTCATTTTCAGCGTCAAAATAGGTCACGTGATCAAAATTGACGTGACCACACTAGATGGTCGGTTGACGCCAGCGTCAACAACAAGAAGTTCGATTTTTCCAACTTCAAGCGTCAAGCCGTGTATATGCATGCATCAGTAGGATATTACCAGTTAGGTTAGGTAACTCAATAATCTTACAAATAACTAAAAATTAATACATTTGTAATTATTGTATTGGAAAATGAACGTTTGCGCATATAAGTATTATTTATGGCTACATGATTGTTTAAAAATAATTAACAAACAAAAAAGAGAAAAAAGAAAAAAAATTGTTGCTGCACTTTTAATAATTTTATTGGAAAATGAGCAATATAAACAAGTATATTCGAAGAAACGGTTCTGGGTGAATCCATTACTTGAAGAACGAAAGAGGCATGGTTTTTACCATTCGTTATTTCCAATAGTTTCATTAGATAGTTCTATATTCCTTAACTATTTTCGTATGACACGTGTACAATTTGAGGAATTACTAATTATGGTGGGACCTATAATTTCTAAACAAAATTTATGCAGAGAACCAATTTCAGCAGCAGAACGATTATCAATTACTTTGAGGTAAAACATTTTTATACAATAAATATCTTTGTTGTTACAATAATTTATTTATTTAAATAATTTTAATATTTTTTAATAATTAATTAATAATGTACTTGTAACTTAAATTAATCTATATATTTTAAATATTTAGCTTCTGGTGATTCGATGACTTCTTTACATTATCAATATTTGATTGGATTGACTACTGTGAGTAATATTATATCAGAAACATGTCAAGCAATATGGAATTGTCTTCAACCAGAAGTTTTACCATCAAATATTGACAAAAATGGATGGTTACGTATTGCAAAAGAATTCGAGGATCTGTGGAATTTTAATCATTGCATAGGAGCAATTGACGGGAAACATATAGTAATTCAGGTATATGAAAAATTTTATTATATATGTATTTTTTTAATTTGTTGTGTAATAATGAAAAAACATTTTCAATTATTTATTTTAGTGTCCTGCTAATGCTGGTTCCTCTTATTATAATTATAAAAATTGTCACAGTATTGTGCTTTTAGCTATTTGTGATGCTAAATATAGATTTACTTTTGTTGATATTGGTGCATATGGACGACGAAGTGATGGTGGAATCTTCAGAGATTCCTTAATAGGACAAAAATTCATAAATAAAGAGATGAACTTGCCTGAATGGGAACCTTTGTCATTTGAAGGAGTTGATATGCCTTACGTATTAATAGGAGATGAAGCCTTTCCTTTATCAGAATATTTAATGCGACCTTATCCAGGGAAAAGTCTTAATGAAGACAGAATTATCTATAATTATCGTTTAAGTAGAGCAAGGCGAATAATTGAAAATACATTTGGTATACTCAGTAGCCAATGGAGGATTTTGAGAAGACATATTGATTGCAAAATAGATAAAACTGCGACACTCATTCAAGCTCTTGTGTGTTTACATAATTGGCTTCGAATAAACTATGAAGATTCTGAATATGTACTTGAAACAATGGTAGATCGTGATGGACCTGAAGGATTTATTCCTGGTAGTTGGAGGCAAAATTTGTCTAACTACAGTGCATTAGTAAATATCACTAGATGCAGTACAAATAATAGTTCACGTACAGCTATCAAAATACGTAATGAATTTTGTCATTATTTTAACAGTGAAGGTGCTGTGCCATGGCAGTTTGACCAGTGCTAAACAAATTTTAAAATTACCTATATATTAGTATGAAAATTTTTTATTCAGTTTATTACATGTATTGTGTTGTATTTATTAATTAGTATGTATGCCTAACATAGTAAAAAATAAGAGATAAAAATAAAACTAAAATTCTTGGAGTTTTTAATACATACTTATATATAATTACATTCCACATTTACATAATGTAATATCACATTTGTAATCACATACTTATATCACTATATCATATAATATGTCGTAATATCACATTTGTAATCACACTTATGTATACTTATGTATAATGCTTATTTTTCCCGATCTTTTGCAGTCTCAAGTTAAAAAATAATTTTAAAAAATCAATTTATGTCAATATATTTTCTATGTAACACTTAACATATCTTATTTGAACAAACATAAAAAAATTATTTCTGTAATTCAATACTGTATTCATGTAATACAAATAGTAATAAAAAAAATTAATATTTTGTAATTCTAGAAATTGCACAGGCTGCATTACATAGAAATTAAACACCAAAAAATATGCAATGCCTGTTTAAATTCGATATTTTATCTATATTATATATGAGAAAAAAATATAGATCTAAAAAAAATTATATAATATTGTCAAGTAATGGAAATATTAATGTTACTCTTTTAAGTAGTTGAAAGATAATTGTAAGTGATTCTGCATTGCTTCCATTTGCTTTTCTTGGGGTAATTTTTTTATTCTATGGCCTAACATAATTAGAAATGCATCAATTTCATCTACTTGTGGTGGAGGCGGTATTGATATTGTTGTTTCTTGGTTTGTATTAAGGGCATCAGCAATCCTTTCAAGAGCATTATCTGATAAATCGTTTTGTCTTTTTCTTTTTCGAGAAGATTTATCTAAAGATTATTTTTTGTTTATAAAAAATTATAATCGTATTAAATGTTAATTAACTAAAAAATTGTTGGAAACTTACTGAGAGATGTGTTATTTTCATTTCCAGAATTGGAAGCACACTCTACCACAGTGGAACACAAGTTTGAGGTAGTTCTAAATAAATAAATAAATATTAACTTTTTATAAACAATTAATGTAACCAATCTTAACGTGCATGTTCGTTTATATACGCAAACACTCACTGTTTTATCAAACACGAATCTCTTAAAAAATTCATAGCATCATAATGGTGCCATTTCTTTGAGCTTTTTTTTGCAGATCCGCTTGGTAAGTTTTCAGCTTGAATTATTTTTCTGTATGTATCATGTAAACTTTTAAATTTTTGTTTTGCCCCTTCAGCACTAATCTTATCTAAAAATAATGTTTGTCTTATTAAAATTAAAAGCTTTTGTTATTCCAAACAACTTAGATAAGACGTTTTAATCTTTTTAAAAATTTAGGCCGGTATTCATATTTAAGACCGTTTTAAGTACAATCTTAAAATGTCATTAACCAATCACAAAGCCGTATTAGCATCTTAAGACATTACTTAAGATGGTCTTAAAATAAGAACCGACTAATGAATACCGGCCATAGTCGGTTTTTATATTTAAGACCGTCTTAAGTACAGTCTTAAGATGTCATAAGCCAATCACAGCGCCGTATTAGCATCTTAAGACATTACTTAAGACGGTCTTGAAATAAGGACAGACTTATGTGAATATCGGTCTTAGATTAAGCGTGACACTCACTTCCCAATGCCAGTGATACCTCTTCCCATAATTTATTTGTAATTTTTGAATTTCTTTCCTGTATATTTAATTGAAAATTCCAAAGAGGTTCTCGAGCTTTTACTTCCAAAATTAATAATTCTTCATCATCAAAATTTAGACTCACTTTTTCGCGATTTTTTTTGTTAATTCTTTTATTAATGTTGACAACTGTTATAATAAAAAAATTATTAACAAGTATCAATAGTATTAATAGTATCAACATTAAGCAAATCATTGTTTATACTTACTTTTTTCGATTTCAAAATCAT